GCAGACAGGTGGGTCCTGTGCTCACCACTTGGCTTAGCCTGCTTGGTGAGTTCCAAGCTACTGAGAGATACTGACAGGCAATTTCTTACAGCTACTAAAAGTCTGACTAACACAATAAGTAACTGAGCATGCTTTTTACATGTGAATTTCAAATGAAGTTTTTATTTAAGTCATTATAGACTTGAAAGAAATACTTTTCTATGACAAAAAAATGAAAGCAATACTTTTTTTTTTCTTTTTTGAGACGAAGTCTCACTATCAAGACCTGGCTGGCTTTGAACTCACCATAAACTCCACAGAGACCCACCTCTGGAGTTCTGGGATTTAAAGGTGTGACTATGGCTGGCAAACAGGGTACATTTTTATGACACTGACCATAATTTATCTAGTCTAAAGCATTATCTAGGTCAAGCATAAGACATACCAGTATTTTATGTTACAAAGGAAAAAAACCTCAATTTCAGAAATATTAAAATGTGAGCAAAATTACTCAGTCAGATGAATGATAGCGTTTGTTGTTTCAATTAGTAAATCTTCTTCTTCCTTTCTGAAGATAACATGTGGGATGTGTGTGTGTGTGTGTGTGTGTGGGTGTGTGTTTGAACATGAGCATGTATGCACAATGTATGCACCAGACAGACCTCTGGCCTCTTTTTCTACTATCCTTCACTTTATTTTTTAAAATATAATATTTTTACTAATTCCTTGAAAATTTCATGCATGCATATAATGTGTTTCTTAATATTTTATTTATTTTTATTTTGTGTGTGTCACTTGCCTGTATGGGCACCACATGCATACCTTGAAAGAAGAGAGAGTCAGTCTCTGAACTGGATGTTATAGATGGGTGTGAGCTGCCATGTGGGTGCTAGGAACTGAACCCAGGTCCTTTGGAAGAGCAGCCTGGGGGATCTCTTAAAGAATGAGACATATCTCCAATGCCCAGATGATGTATTTTGGTCATGATCTCCCCAAATTTTCTCCTAACTCCTCCAAGATCTACCTCTTCCCACCATTGTACCCTAATATCTTTTTTTTTTTTTTTTACTTGTACTATCCACAAAGTCTAATTCATGTTTCCCATATAGTCATTAGTGTGGTACCATCCACTGGAGTACAGAAGGCTACTGGGAGTGAAGACCATAAAGAAAACTGACTGTCTCTCCCCATGCAACCAGCAAGTGTCAATGATAGCTCCTCAGCAAGGAGTGGAGGTCATCAGTCTTCCCTTGCTTCATGCTGGAATGCTGATTGGCTTGTTCTAGTGCAGGAACCCTTGGCTGCTATGAAGTCATGAACACCACCTTCCTGCCATGCCTGGAAAATCTGTTTCCAGAAGTCCTACCTGACCTCTGGCTCTTAGAATCTTTTTGACCTTGGGGATAGGGGATGATTTATTTTTGAGTCAAGTTCTCTCACTGATTTGGTAAGCATAGTTAGCTTGCCAGTAGGCTTCATAGATCCACCTGTCTCTGTCTCTTTAGCACTAGGATTACAGGCATGCGTGACTGTGCCTGGATTTCATGTGGGTGCTGGGATCTGAACTCAGATACTTACACTTGCACAGCAAGCATTTTCCTGATGAGTCACCTCCCCTTCCCCTGAAGATAACTTTTAATCTTCAGTTCCATCTTTGAATTTGTGCAACATGGCTAATCCTTCTCAATCTGATTTTTTATTCATTTTCCTGTAGAGGCAACCTCATTGAGGCATTAGCACAGAGGACAATAACATTCTGCAACATACTAAACAATGAACTCCTGCTGTCTATTCTGCATAGAAGGGGAAAAATGATTGCTAACAACCACACATGCCCAACCAGAAGTGTATCACCCTGAATGTCTACTACAGGAACCTGGAAATTCTTAATAGCAGCCATAAAACGTCTTAAAAAGGAAGCAGACTTAACAGATAGCTTGACTGAACATGGTTGAGTGAGCATTGTGCAGTAAAGAAAGCCATTTGGAATCTAACAATGTGTGGGGAGGAGTCTATAAATGTCGGGCAAACCTCACGCCCGAGTCGCACGGGGACGGCGCCCGTCATCTGGCAACCAACGTGGCGCGAACTCCAAGAATGAAAAAATCACTTCCAACGGGACAACGTCTAGACTCCTGTTTTCCCAGCGCACGCCCTGCCTACGCTCTCTCGCTTCTATTTTACTGCGCTGTGGGGCAGTAGGCTATGAGAAAGCCAGAAAGCTTGGTAGAAATCTTTGAAGCCCCGGAGACCTCGGCCTGAAAAGGGTCAGCAGGATGGGAGGTTGCTTCAGATTCCCAGGCCATATGGCCCTCTTAGCTTCCGCTTCCTACAAAGAGACCCGTGACTCTTATCACGTAGGATAACACCTCCATGCAAATAAGGCATCCCCAAACCCTCAAGCCAAACCAATAGGGGTTACCTGTTCTTCCCCCCGAAACTGTATATATATAACCCCAGAGCTGAAAGTAAACTACTACTGCTGTGTGGTGTAAGGTCTCCTGCTGTCGGAGTGCTTTTGTGATCCCTCGCCAGTCGCGCATTTCAAAGGACAACTCTCCTCCCTCCTCTCTTCTCATCAGGAAGAGCGAACTGAGAGAGCTGAAACACTCTTCTTCCGTGGGCTCTCACGAGCTACCCCCGGAAGGAGAGAACTAAAAGAGCTGATAACACTCTCTCGCTTTTGGAGACTGGGATGGAGGTCCCGCTCCACACAACTGGAAGGCGTGCTCATGCTGTGCCCTGGTTCACAGTTGTGCTCTCCTTCATCGCTGCTGCCGCCACCCCCGCCTCTGGGGTTTTCAGGCCGACCGGAGGCTGCCATGGATCACGAGCCCCGCCCTGCCGGCTGCCAAAGGCCCTGGGCCGGCTCGTTCCTTGCCCCCAACCCCAGAGTCTGTCCACCCGCCCCCGAGGGCCCAGCCTGGAGCAGACGCCAGCCGCCGCTGACCCCGGTACCCTATGGCAGTTCCGTCAGCCGCTCTCTTCCTGCCCAGGCGGTCCGTGACTGCCTCTGCTGCCCCCGCCAGCCACCACTGACCCGGTGTCCTGCGGGGGTCCCTCCGGCCTCTCTCCCGAGTCTTGTGGTGCTTCTGCTCCCGCTAGCACGCCCGCCTGCAATCCCTAGGCGTGAGCAGTGTCCGAAACTGCGCGTCACAGACCCTAGAAATAGAAGCCGAATCGACGTGCTGGCGTGTTCAGACACACAGCCACGCATCTCCACGATCTCTGCCCTGCTGTGCTCTTCCCCCCGTGGCATTTAGGACCCAGAGCAAACGCCTGCTGAGATCTGACTAGTTCATTCCTGCCCAACACCAAGCTTTCTGCGTCTGCTTCTACGGCAATCTCTGCCCCACTGAGACATCTGCTCCAGGACAACTCCATGCCCGTGCACTCCCAAGGCGCACAGGCCGCCATCTCACCCCCGGTTAGTGGTGGACAGTGCACACAAAGCCAGCTCAGAAACTCTCCCCGCTGGCACCTACGAAAACTGTGAGTTACATCTCTGTCCATCCATCTCCACCCCCAACTCTTTCTCCTTCTCGCTTCTCTCTAATTGTTAACTACAATCTAACTCCCGCCTAATACAAAAAACTAAGTTTCTCTCTCCACGTGTTCCCCACAAAATGGCGGAGACTCCTTAATCGCCATTCTTTATCCCTCTCCCCAAAACAACTCCCGCGCTCTGCCTGCCAAGAGGTTTGCCCCTCTCCCAGGGGTTAGCTTTTCACGCTCTGCCTGCTAGCCTAGTGTAAACTTCCCCCACTCCTCCGCCATTTGCAGCCGGCTGGTTACAGCCCAGCTGACTCGCCTGTAGCAAGAGGGCTGGCTCCCTACTTGCCCCCTTCCCCACTTCACCTTCTAGGTCATTTTCGGCCCGCTACAGCCCAGCTGGCTTGCCTGATAGCAGAGGGTCTGAGACTCAATCTGCCCCCTTCTGTTTACCTTACAATTTCTTTCTCACAACTAAAAACTCCAGGCTGACCCTAGAAAAACTGCCGCCGCCTGTTTTCCTCTCCCCCTCTGACTGAGAACTGCGGCCATGGCTCAGTCTTACACAGCCTTTTACTCCTTCTGACTCTGTTATCAAACTTCTATGTTTCTCGCTTTAAACTTTTCTTCAAAGTTAGCCTTTCTTTTCTCTAAGAAAAACAAAGGGAGGAATGCCCTGGCTTCTCACAGGCCCCCTCCCCCACTGATTTTAAACCCTTCATTAATAATTTTCTCCCAAACAGGAATGCCTACAGTAACGTTTGTGCTTTTCAACCAAAAAATTTTCGTCTTTTGTTTTAATATTTCCTTTTCTCTCTAATACTCGTGATATATGTCCAACACTTTCTTCAACTCTTTAAAAAAATTTTTTTTCTTCAAGATTTGAAAGTCATCCAAATTTACTTCCACAGGTTAAATCAACATGCTGATCATCATCTTTCAGCTTTTAATTAACAACTAATTTTCCTTCACAGACAAACTGTGGATGCCTACCCCAGATGTTATTAACACAATGTTTTCGCCTTCAGCCATCCAATTTCCTCAAACACCTTTGGCTTTCTAAGAGTGATTCAATGCTCACCTTTCAGACATCTCCCTGCCGGAGATGCTGCTTCTCTGTGATTATATCCACAGATCCAACAGAGACAAGCTGCCTATATCTCGTCAGACCACAGACTCCAGAGACGAGCTGCTGCCGAGACAGTGCCATCTCCTGAAACCTGACAAGATGCCTTCTCCCAGTCATCTCGTCTGACTGAAGACCCAGAGATACTCGATACCAACTACAGATGAACTCTTGCCAAAGTCACATAGCTGAAGTGATGTGTTAGTGAAGAAATCATAATGTCTATTTAGATTAATCAGATGTCATTACTCTCAAATTGTACAATATGTATTTAATTGATTCAATGACTCCTTGCTTTCCCAACCCCAACCCTTGGTTCCAATTCCCATTACCCTTGGTTTGGTTATGCTACACCCCTGACCTGTGTGGTGTTTTCTTTTGACTTCCTCATCCAAAATTTTCATCACAGGTTACACCTCTCCTAAGAGAAAGAAAATTGTGAGACAGTGAGCTGTGGAGGCCAGAAAGCCTGGTAGTAAGGCCCTAGAAGCCCCGCACCACCCTAGTCTCTGAGACTAGCCTCTGACGCGGTAGGTGCTTCGGACCTTCCCAAGCCTTCTAACTCTCTCAGCTTCAGCTTCCACAATCCCTCCCACAGAGAGACTCACATGGGAGTCACTTGTCACATGACTCCGCCTTCAGAGATGCCGCCCCCCCCCCTTTTTATGAAAGAATAAAGGGTGGGATGTGGGACTGTAAAATCCTGGGTGTTCAGCCATGCCCCCAAAACCCAGAGACCTAGCATAAAGCCCTCGAGACTAACAGGTCTCTGCAGGAGAGGGATTCTAGCTAGCCACGTAGCCGCCTGCCCCGGTGCTCTCTGCATTCTAGCTAGCTGCGCGGATGCCCACGCCAACTCGAGTCCTGCATCCCCCGCTGCTGTGCACCACTAGCGGGACAGGGGGAAGGGAAGCCTTTCTCTCTGCGGTCCGCTCTGTCCAGCGCTACTGAACAACTTGCCCTGGGACTGCTGCCGCCCACCGCTCTCCCGAGATGTCTCTGCCTGCTCTGGCTGAGCTTTTCTTCGAGCCGCTGCCACCCTGCGACCGGAAATGGAAGAAGCAATTAAGGCTGTCACACAGCCACAGTATGGAAGTGTGTGACGAGGGAAAGCAGAAGGAAGTGGCAATGGTAAGGCCATTACATGATCCTATGCTTGGCGCTATAGGTCAACACACAGTAGCACATGCTTTTCAGTGAGTAGGATTCTAACAATTTAGCACTGGGAATAAGAGCAGCACACATAGACTGTGCTGGAATATCCTGACTCTTCAGTTTCTGTGCTAGAGAGTCACAGGTGCTGAACTACAACTAGCCGTAACAAGACATGGAGCTCCATCCTAGAAAGTCAACAGAACAGGCTGTTAGCACACCCGAGGGCCCCAGTCACTGCTCCAGAGTATCTAAAAGACCAGACTCTGAGTCAAAGATGATTTTTGGGATTTAGAACTTAATGTGGGTTTTAAAGCTTCCTGGGACTTTTATCTCCTTTATTTTTACTCTTTGGAATATCTGTCCTATTTATTTATTTATTTATTTATATTTTTATTTGGGAGGCACACTGACTTGTTTGGTGTACAGGCTCACAGCTGGGAAGCAACTACTCACATCTAAAAGAACTTTAACTTGGCTCCCACTGATCTCCAATTTAGGTGATGCTCAGACAATACGCTGGATTTAAGTTGGTGCTGGAATGAGTTAAGACTTTGAGTGCTTTTGAGATGTATTCCAGTTTATGAAGGCATTCGTTTGGGGGTCCTTGAACAGGATATTCTCTGAATGTTGGTGCCCCTGCCACAATTCATATATTGTATCCTAGGTGATACATCAGAAAGCAGGGCCTGTGAGCAGTGACAAGGTCCTGAAGGCGCCTGGGATTTATGCAAGGCATTGTGGTCTTGTAAAATTTACTCAGAGCTCCCTTCCCCCTTCCCCTATGTGATGACACATGAAAAGTCACCTTCCGTGAACCAGACACCTGGTCTACCTATGCATTACTTTGGACTTTGTGGCATTTAGAACATTGGGAATAACTTTCTGTTGTTTCTAAGTCACCCAGTTTCTGGTTGGACTTAACAGGAGAAGGCCTTTGTGCTGCAGCTCTTTTGTCTTGTTTTGGTTTAAAATGCAAAAACAGCTTTGGGGTTCTTTTGTGATCCTCTTTTAGTAGACCTGGCTAGCCTTCCATCTCAGTCTTCCTGCCTCCACTTCCTGAGTGTAGGGATTATATACCACTATACCCTACATAATCCTTTTATTTTGTAGCAAAAACATTACAACTGTTTATCTGAGCATCTTTGAGTTGTATGATGTGTGCATGCCATAGCATTCATGTGCTTATGTGGAGGCCAGTAAACTTTTGTGAACATATTCTCTCCTTCCACCATAGGGGTCCTGGGGATCAAACTCAGGTCCTCAGACTTGGCGGCAAGCATCTTTACTCAGTGAGCTCTCTTCAAGCTCCTTGTTCATCTTTCACATTTGCTCATTTCTGTGTGCATGTGTTATGTGGGTACATACATGCTTGTGGAGCTCAGAGGACTAGCAGGAATCTGTTTTCTCCTTCCATCAAGTGGGTTCCAGAAAATGAACCCTTAACTGCCAGGCAGGGCAGCTACCACCTGTATCTGCTGAGCCATTTTACCAGCTCATGATCATCATCATCATCATCTTCTTTTTTTAAAAAAAATTGCACGATTCTTGTCTTTATTATTCCCTCAAAAATGCTTCTAAATATTCATAACTACCTGAACCTAACTTTGGCCTCATGTACATTCATGAACTGAATTTCAGTCCCTTTTAAGTGCATGTGTGCATAACACCTTGGCTCCCATGGAACTGGAGTTACAACAGTTTGTGAGCCACCATGTGGGTGCTGGGAACCAAATCTAAGTCCTCTTCCAGAGCAACAAGTGCTCTTAACCAGTCATGTCTCCAGCTGTTTTCTAATTTTAACTAAAGGCATTTAAAGCTTTCAATTCAGTTTTAAGGACTTCACTATCATCACTATTCATTTTTTTGCAAATGTGTATGCATGTGTGTTCACCTGTAGGTGCGCATGCGTGTGCATGTATGTGTATGAATGCCAGTAGAGGTCAGAGGTTGACATGAGGTGTCTTCTTCCATCGCTCTCCAGTTCACTTACTGAACCTGGAATTGTGTATTGGGCTAGTCTCATTAAGCAGCTCATCCTGCCCATTTGACTATCCACAGAACCATCTCCTCAACCTTCCCCTAAGTTTTTACGTGTGCAGTATATATTGTTTACTACAAATACAGGTTTTGGCCAACAATTTTCAGTGCAACTCATTTCCAAATTTTCTAAATTCTTGACTTTTCTTTGAGCACAAGCTGCTGAATAATACATTTTCAAGAATTCTGGCACATGTATTATTATCGGAGAAAGTGGCTTATATCCTACTGAGCCTTTGAATGTGATCAGGCAGCTTTTTAAGTCAGCAAGAGGTCAGTTTTTTAAAAGTATGCTGTATGTACTTAAGAAGGTGGCACTATCAAGAGTAGTTTCTGCTTGACCTATTGGATTCTCAGAACTGTCACTCTCCCGTGTCACAGCCACTGGCCAGATGTGGCTGCTGAGCACCTGAGGCTGGGCTAGAGACTGCTGGAAGAGAATACCAGTGGTGCTTAACCAACCAAACAAAGGATACAGAATGTCTCATAAATGTATATGATGTTAACTAGCACTGTGGCTGTATATTAGATAAAAAATACCAAAATAACCTTTTTCTACATTTTAGATGCAGTTCCTAGAAATGCACACTTTCATTGCCATGGTCTTTGTTTCTGTTTTTAATCTTCCCTCAGTTCCGGGGATTAAACATGGAGCCTCACACAATGATCAGCAAGTGGTCGACAACAGCTACATCTGAGCACCCCCACCTCCTTTCTAGAACTTTGAGATAAAGTCTAAGTTGATCAAGTAGACCTTTGAATATATGAGCCCCTGCCTCAGTCTCCAGAGCAGCAGCTGTAGTTACAGCACAACACCAGGCCCAGGTGACATTTGGGTAGACTGTCCCATGATGTCACTTATACATCGTCTGAGTTCCCACCGAGAATGGATTCATCCTCCCACTGTGGCTCCAGTTTTAGACTGTGCTTCTAAGTCTTTGCTCTGTGCCACTCACAGTTGCATCCTCGATATCGTGTCTTTTGAGTTCCTTCCTTCTTTACCATTCTAGTGCTTTTTGCTCTAAGTTGAACTTACCTGTTTTCTGCACTTCTGCTGTATTATATTAGGGCTCACATAAAAAGTGGTCAGTTTTACAATGCTGAGAATCAAACCTAGAAGTCTTGTATGCCAGGTAAGTGATGCCCACTGAGCCACAACCATCCAGGATCTCTAAAGCTCCTTCTACCATTTCCTCTCATTCATGACTTTTATCGTATGAACACATTTTCTCGATTTCTTCCTTTCCTCTCTTCTGATGCTAAATTTCTGAATTTGCCTTTATATGATTCTTACATTTACTTTTCAACCTTTAACATTACAATCTTACCTGAGAAATTGCAAGATTCAACCTTTAATGTTACTATCTTACCTGAAAAACTGCAAGATCTAGAGATTTCCAGAGATCTGCTTACAAGCCGCCCTCAGCTTGCGAGCTGACCACACTCCCCATATTGAACTGTACCATTTGAATGTTATTCCAACACTACTGATGCAAAATGAACACACATACAATCAGTGGCTTGCACAATGCACAGAACACAGTGGCTTGCACAATGCCTACAGAATACAGGCAGCCTGGGGAGCTGGGCCTGAACATCTTCAATAGAGTTGGCCAACTGATGGCAGCCTTTGTTTGGCAGTTGGTAGCTTCTGGCTGTGCCCACTGGCTTCAACCTTGTCCACTTACACACCAGCCTGAGAAAACTGCCATGGCAGAGTAACAAGTGGAAACAACTTCCTCAAGCTTCAGTAGGCATCTGCTAACATCCCATTGGCCACAGCAAGTCACATGTCCAAATGGGGTCTTAAAATGCCAAAAAGTCAGGTTTATTCCTTCAGTGAAGAGGACTGTAAGGGGCTCAGTACTAGGGCTGGGGACTCAAGAGGGGTGAAAACTTGAAGCCATTACGGTGAACAGCCTATTGCATTTAACTTTATCATCTGTTCAAACCTCAAAGTTTCCTATCAAAAAATTGTACTCTACCAACTTCATATAATTTCTAGTTTAAAAACTCTATACCTTCTCTCTGGATAATTGTCAATTTAAGTGAACCTACCATGTATGGATGAGGAATCCTCTTGGTGGTTGTTGAGCCTAAGCTGTCTCTGCCCTTCGTCACGCAGAATCCTAACCCTGAGCTGATGAGCTTTCTTACCTCTTTTGTTTGCAGACAATTCTTGTCCAAGTTTTATTTAGCAGGCTAACATACCATTTCTTTCGAGCAGTTGTAAAGATTTCCCCTCAGACATCAATGTAATACCTGGATGTGAAAAGATCATTTTATCCAACCTGACTGAACTACATGGCACTGACGACAGATTTTTGGTCTCATCTGTAGGAAACTGTCAGCTTTTCTTCATGTCTTTTGTTTTGTTTTGGTTTGGTTTTTGTATTGACACACTGCTTTCCGCTTTCCTATCTAAACTGCTGCTTTGTGTTTTTAACAGAATGTTTCCTGGTACTCCAGAATAGGACATTCTCTCATACTATCATCTAACACCCAAATTTTCTCTCCATCTCCAACCTATCATTTACACCAATTGAGCATTTTTGCAATACCTGTATTTTTTACTTACAAGATTCCCACATACCTTACCTGTTCTCTGACCTGTTCTCTGCCCCACCCTGCCCTGCCCCCATCCATGTGAGGACCATGTGGCCTGTGCTTGAACAGCCTCCTGTGTACCCTCCTCTGACAGACTTTGAGCATGACTCATTTGTGCACACTCCAGCACAGCCAAGCTCCATCCTAGGTCTCCACCTTCTCCTTCACTATGTTCTGCTTCCTCAATGTCGGCCAGGTAGTCGACCACTAACTTCTCTTAAAAAAATCTGGACAGCCACTCAGTAGCCCCGGCCTCAGTCTCGATCCATCCATAGGGGACAATTCCCCAAGCACCACCTCCAGCTTCATAGCCTGTGCTTTACATTTTCTCGCTGCTCACATCCCGCTTCCTTTTGGTCCACACAGATGCTCAGTTTTATCTGAGGCTGGTCAGACCTAGCTCTCTTAGTTTCCTGTTAGCAGCAGCAGGAAACAGCAGCAGTCACACCACTGTATTAGAAAGTAGGTACCAGTAAAAGGAAGTACTCTCAATCAACCTTCCTTCACCACATGAAATATTCACATATACATATCCCTAAATGAGCCAAGACACGACTACAGGCATCTTGTTCTGTATCTAGAAAGCATTAAGCCTAAAGGTGAAAACCACATGTTTTGGTGACACTGGTAATTGAACATAAGCTGGAATAGTCTCACAACAGACTTCCGTCAAAGCCATTTAATCACCAGTACATTTAGGTAGAGTTTACTTCATCGAACCCCAAGTGCTAAGTGCTTGAGATCTGCTGCCTGAATTTGAATGCTTTTTACGAAAACCTGGCTATATCTTATTAAAACTCCAAACGCTTCTTAAGGGGGTGGTGTTTGTGATGAGGATGAATGCCTTCGAGAAGGGCCTGAGCGTCGTAAACAGAGAAAACCATTGCTGTGTTTATTTAGAGAGCGTTACCCCTTGGAGCCAACGCTGGCAATAATGTGTTCTACATTAGCGTGCCGCATCAGGAAATCCTGACTTTTTGGTGCCAAGGGGGTAATTAATATCAGTTCATGTTTTCAAAATGGCTGTGTTTATGTGGGAATGAGGGCTGAGGACTAACGCAGAGAGCTTCAAGTACAAAAAGCTTGCTGTGAAGCAAGATCTTAGGAGAGAAAGGAAGACTGAAATTAGTGAGCGAGAAGCACCACCACCCTTCCTTACTCTTACTTTACTAAGCACCAACAGACAGAATTCTCTAGTATACTTACAAGGACAGGAAAAAAGAAAATCTGTGGTAGCTATCAACAGTATTTTGGTCAACAGTCTTAAAAAGTTATAAAACCTAATCATATGTATAGAATAGTATATGAAAGATGACATAATTTCTAAGCAAAGCTAGCACATGATCTACAATCAATTACACACACAGATATGGGAAGCCAAAAAGTTAAACAAAAGCAAAGAGTTAAGAGTGGAAAAGTAGGAATGTAGCAAAGCCAGAATAAAAGTGAAAACTTCACAGGTTTTGAGGGCTAGCATAGAACTCCATCAAACAAATAAAGCAAGCTCTTCACCAAGCTTTACAGTTACCAAAAACACTGTAATGAAGTATATGCTATCAGTATTTTTAAATTGAGTGACTTACTCAAATGACAAAGGGCACAGGACAGTCTTAGTGGTCATTAAAGGGTCCTGCCCATTTTGTCAGTCCAGGACACAGCACCCAACACCACTAGCCTAAGAGGAATGGCACCCCCACCCCCAGCCACTTAAGAAAATGTACTCCAGACTTGTCCACAGGCCAGTTGTACAGAGGCAGTTTCTCAAACCAAGAGCCCCTCTTCTCAAATGACTCTAGCTGTAAAACCATCACAATTACCAAAATTCTCCAATATGGGGCCTGTCAGAAAAACATTAAAATTTTCCAAGACTTTTTATTATGAATGTTTATGTCTATACGTGTGTCTGCAAAAGTAACTGTCCCATGCATAATGGCATACACTGAGGTCAGAAGATATCAGATTCCTCAGAGTGGGAATTATATGCAAGAGGTTTTGAACCACATGACATGGAGTCTGGGAATCAAACTTGGGTCCTCTGAAGAGCAGCGGGCACTCCTGTTTAAACCACCTCTATAGCCCAAAACCTTAAACTCTAGAAACGTATTTACCCATAGACATAAAACATATATGCACATACATAATTCAGGCATACACATTTCTATTTCTATAAAAATGTGTGTGTGTGTGCGTATACTATTCCCCTCTTCAACCTCCTTACTGGATTCTATTGAACTAGAGGAAATTACATTGCATCATTTGCTTCTGAGACTCAAACTACTGAACAATAAAACAAGATTTTCTATCTGAGATTTGGACTAATAAACAATAAAAAATTTCTTTTATTGATTTCTTATTTTTTCTTAGTAATCCAGAGAGGCACTTTGAGGCAGCTATAGAGATAATTAATTAGCAGGTACAAAAAAAAAATCAAAGAGCTTCTAAATTTCAACAAGTAATACATTTTAATGTGTTCTACAAAGTCTATACAAAATATCTGAATGACTCCTACTGTTAAGAAGTTAGTCACTGTTTGTAAGTAACTTTTTATCCAATAAAAAAAAAATTATGGGAAAAGAACAACTTAGCTTTGAGGCAATAAAGTAGTTCTAGTTAAATAAATCTATTTAGTCACTGAAATGTCTACTTACCACACGTTACATTTACTTAAATTGTTAACAAAAGCAATAAAATGGCATCTCAAATCTGCAAGAGAATGACTTACTTAATAATTGGCCAAAGAGTTGATTATATAGGGAAAGGGTCAATGCCCTGAATTACAGAAGTAAAGTAAATTTTAAAAATGAAAACAAATAGGAGAAACACGACTATGAATCTGCAAGTTAGGGAGGCTGCAGACACTGTTTTCCTGCAGAAAACATTCAACACAGAGAAAGATATCATAATCAAAGTTTCTAAAATGACAGACAAAAAGATCTTTAAGACATTAAAAGACCAACATATAAACAAAGCTAGCACCTGAGAAATGAAATGCACGTGAACATCCGAAAAACTCTGTTGGATAATTTATGAAAACCGTTTCTGTAATAGTGAGAGAATGAAAGGCAACTAACTCAGAAAGGTACCTCCTGGGTTAAAAAGAAAGAGGAAAAAGAAGTCACCAAACAGAGAAGCATAAGTCTCTCCTCAGGACGGAAACGAGAACATGTATTCACATATATGTTGGCTATATGTCAAAAATCAAATCGGTTCTTTTATGTGATAGTTGTAGAAAATGTTCACTTTTATGTAATTTACTTGTTAATCTTTTGTTTAATGTGAGAGAAAAGGCAGCAGTCTGAACATACAGACTGTAAGATGATGTCGATGCTGAAAATACAGGATTTCAGAGCAAAGGAGTCCTCAAAGTCCAAGGCATTTTGTAAAAAAACAGAAATCCTTCAGGTCCTTCCTGAAATATTTAAGAGCTAAGGAACAGTGCTCACCTCTACTTGTGAGGAGGAAGATAGACAACAGAAGTTCAGCCTTTGTGCCGAGCAAGTGGGGTGTGTAGCTACAAGCGGGGCACATGTCCCCAGCCTCTGAAGGTCACTGTGCCACCAAGCAAAGCTGCAGAATGATGCTAACAGTCACCCACAATGGCACCAGCAGCTTATCCATTTGGAAAAGAGTTATCAACAGCCGTGCTGCTTGTTAAGATTTTACTTCTTGGATTTCGTGGTATGCTACAATATTTATTTAATTCATTTGATAAAATAAAATTTCTACTTTTTTCTATATGAAAATGTCAGCCTTGGTAGAAGAGCTACTGGTGAAGTTATTGTTCTTACTAGGTATCCAAGGAGTACAGTAATCTTTGTCATCACCAATTAAAAACTTTTACGAAACAGGACTGTTATAAAACAATTAAACCTTGCAAATGCACCAGTCTCCAGGAAGACAGTCCTGGAGGAAATTCTGCTTATTAAAATTGCAATTTTAGTTTCCATTAAAGGAGAATAAGACAACAGAAGATGGGTTGGCAAGACAAATTATTTCTTAATGTCAGTTGAGCTCATTTCAAATGAGATAACGTATCTCCACCAGGTTGGGATCAGCACAATTTTGTCTCTTCGACTCATTTATCTAATTCAGTCATCTTGATTATAGCCTCATGGACTTCATTTCCAGAGAAAGAGTTCTGCAACAAACAGCCTACACAACATGCTGATTACTGAACAGTTAATTGTAATTAACGTGGGCATGGCAAGAGGATTTTGATCAAGTCCTAGAATACAAATACCATCTACTCGTACTGGACTAAAAGCCCAGAGTGTCGTCTCTAGGCAAAACAGTAAGAGTCAAAGAGATCTAATTTAAAGAAACAAATGAGAAAATTAAAATCACAAATAATTTATTTTCGTTAGAGTTGATACAGTTTTAAATAGCAATAAAGTACACAGTGGTGGAGAACCTGGCACAGAACTTATAAGCATCTCCGTCACAAGAAGGCTTTGCATGCCTCATCTGTTCACACTTGATGCCTATTGTCTACTGACCAAGTTGAAGAACACCCTATACTCTGACCTTAAACACACACACTCTCAGACAGACACACTGAAACCCCTTTTTTTCATTACAGTATGTTGAGGACAGTATGCTTTGCTTCTTTGAATGTATGGCACCCCTTCTGTTCTGTTTGCAGTTAGAAATGGCAAAAACTAATTCAATTACAAAGAATGTGTTCTAGTCAGTCATATTCCCTGGATGCAGACAACTGTGAGGACACAGCAACTTACCTTTGGGCTAGATATTTTCAAAGTATGCATAAATAGATGTGTCTAGAAATCTCTCAGGACATGTTTTCTTGTCCGGTGCCATATCCTCAAATTTAGCTAAAATAATCAGTCTCAAATAATGATTAAGTATGTTGTGCTTAAAAAACAAGAAACCGTAAAATGCCACCTCTAGGCTTCCAGTACGAATCAGACACGCCATCATAAGCATTTCCTCTTATATCAACCAAGCTGAAGAGAGAGGAACGTAGAGGTGCCCCTTTGCTAATGCCCAATTAAGAAAGTTAATACACAGGCATGTAAAGTCGCCTGGACTGCTCTTCTCTGCTCCATGAACCAATGATGTTAATGTTAAAAACCAGTAAGATGAGATCAATGCTGACTCCTCTCTGAGTGGTTACAAACATGCTGACAGTACTAAGCTCCCTGATCGCTTTCTCCTTTTCAGTTATTGCTGTTTTAAGAGACGCTTCCCTCTTCATTCACACAAACCTGCCAAAGTTCACAGATGCAACATAATTATTGCCTTGCATTTGAAAACAGTATTATAAATCATCTTTACAAAAAGGTTTTAATGCACAAAACTGGAAGGCTTTTTAAAAAATGTCTTTGTACTCAAAAACTGTATCACAGTGCCCTTGTTAATCTGGTAGATAACTAACAGCGGGTGGGCCTGTGGTGGGTTTCTGCCTCCCCTCTCCTGGCTTCAGAGCATCTACCACACTCCACATTAACAGGGGATCTGATTCTGCCCAGTGTGTAGTGTACCGCTTTGCATATTTATCACATGAAATAAACATAATAGACAAAATATTGCTGCTGTAAAAAGTGTACATTTCCCCCTTCCCCTTACAAAATAATCTGTGGAAAAGTATGAAACCCCCTCAACCTTCGTGAACACAAAAAGCTGTTCACCCCTTTCAGTCTGTGACAGTCCATTTGGAACACAGTTCCGAAATCGCTGCAAATTCCTTATGTCAATGCATTTTCTGTCCAATGTTGCCATCTAGAGTAGAGATGTGAAATCAGGTGCACTGGCAGCTACGAAAGCCTTTACAAACTAAACATAAAAGCTACTTGCTGATGAAGCAGCCACTTAGCCAAAGGTTTTTCCAAAACCTAGTTGGAATGGAAGGAGTCTTCCCAGGGGGTGTCCGCGGTGCAGAGTTGTGACAATGTGGTACTAATACGTACTGGCTATTGGAATGTAAGGATATTTTTACTGCTGGTAGTTCCCATATTGTCCCTGAAAGAGAAATGCAAAAACCAGAATTAGATAACAGCTCAACCCAAGTTAGTTTAACACAGAAAATTACAAACATAATTTGTCATGTCATCATATGAGGAAAGTGACTATCCATCCAGTAAATACAAATGTTTATGTACTATCACTCTAATTTTCCTGATATTATACTCAATTGCAAACGGTACTTACAGCCTACATCACCAGACAGATTAGAACTTCAAAGCTAGACCCGGTAGCACACACGTGTAACTCTTGGATTGGGCTGGGGGTGGCAGGGAGAGTACGTACCTCTCAAGAGCTTAATTCATGGCCAATGCAGTCAAAATGAAGTATTATAGATTCTGTGAAAAACACATGTACAGACATAGACACACACACGTATACCTTACTAAACATTACAACGTTTAAAATGAGAAACATCAGTGTCCGCCCGTTCACTGTTCCGTCCGTATAGAACCCAATGAATTCAAACTCTAACCCATCTTAATGTCTGCCGAAAACACTCTTTAAGACTCAATGTCCTTACCCATGAACTGAGAGAGTATGTTACAGCTCTCAGTTCCCCACCAGTTTCCTTTCACCAAGAACTGACCTACTGTATCTATTATGATCCTAACATGTCAGAGAGGACAGGAAAACAGGTTTTCACAGTGAGATGCCATGGTTATGTCTGCAGTCCAAGCCACCACGGAGGTCAAAGAGGACTGCTTCACTCTAAAAGCCTGAGACCAAGAACATGACGAAAGCTTGTCCAAAAATAAGTTAACTAATGAACTGATTACTTATAACACACCAAGTCTCAACACTGGTGGGAAATTCTCCCCTGGCATGTGCAAAGTTAGCCACTAATGGAGAAAGTAGTGTCCACAACTCATCAAAAAGGGGCCTGGGGAAGTCTTGCCTCGACACCTAAAGGCCTGAGCTCAGGACCCAATGCTGGAAGCAATGAGTCCAGCACGACCTTCTCATCTCCATGGCTGTGCCATGGTGCTGGTGTGCTCACGTGTGCTCAAGCACATGTAATGACAAGGTCTTTGTTTAGTTTACACTGAGTTTTAGGGAGTTTCTTTCCTCTCCACTTAGGAGAGGGCCATAGTCATTGCTTCTGCTGCATTCATTGACAGCTTCTAGAGGGTTGTCTAGTTTGTTCTCCATGTGAGATCTTTGTTTTATGCTGTCCCCATGTGGTTCCTGAATACAACTACTTCTTGTGCTGTTTGTAACTCTGGTTGATACAGGCTAGGAGGCAATCCTTCTCAACCCTCAATCAGGGTCTGTCCTGATGCTCTCTATGCTGCAGTGAAAACTCTGCAAAGGCATCAGTGGGTCTGGCTTTGTCATCATTGAGTTGTTGTCACCTAGAAGGCAGTAACAAACAGGCTGCAAGGGGTGAAGGGAGGCACCAGGCCAGCACTGACTCAAGCTAAACACATCTACCAGGTGAAATCCACACCTAGGTATTTAGATGAAACAAAAAATGTGTCCACAAAGAATTGAACCTGGCTGTTTGTGTACTATAACTGAAACTGGTTAGGAAGCCTTATCACAGAACACTGGTTAGCTATAAAGAATGTTCATAGTCACAACAATATAAGCAAATATCCAAACAATTGTGGCCAATAAAAGAAGTCCAACTGAGCTTGCAAGAGGGCTTTGGCAGGTGGCATCTGCTACCAAGTCTGATGACCTGAATTCAATTTCCAGGACCCACAGATGCAAGAATCGACTATCACAAGTTGCCTTCTGACCTCCACAAATTCTGTTGTATTGCATTGCATTGTATGCATGCATACACACACACACACACACACACACACACACACACACTCTAACACAAGATATAAATTTAAAATATGTAAGAAAAGTAAAGAAGTCAGATAACATACAGACTTCTGTAGAGTGACGGGACGGCTATCAGTAGACATCTAGGGAGAGTCTCAATGGATACAGCGGAGGTTTGAAAGTGGCACAGGAACCTTGGGGCACGAGGAGTCATTGTTTTGGTTTTGATAATGACTTTACAGGAATATACAGTTAAAAGACACTAAACTGTACAACTTTAATGTGCAGATTGTTATATGTAAATTAATCCTCAAGAAAGTTACTTTGTGGTTTTTGAGACAGTCTCATGTAGACAAGGCTATCCTCCAACTCACTATGTCCCAGAGGATGAACATGAACTCATGATCCATTTTGTCCCTCTCAATCTCTCCAGTGGTCAGATTACAGGCACCAGTCACTACCCTTGACTATTCTACAGTATAGAAAGACCACCTAATCCAAAGTGAGCTCTCACTACTGTAGCCATCTGACAAAACCCAGGTGGGAGGAGCTGCAGGTGAAGGGGGAGCGTTTCAGGTACCAGCAGCTGCAAACAAAATGGTTCTGAGGGAGCCTGATGCACATCAGAGAGAGTGGGAGGCCAGTGTGAGTGAAGGAGAGCAAGGAGGGCTGCAGCTCATGCTGCACACACACAGCGGGACTCTACGGCAGGACACTGGAAAGATGTCAGCTCTCTCCTCCCGGGCCCAACATGCAACTCCTAAGGCTTCTCAAGACTGAAGCCACCACTGAGGGAAGCTGTCAGAACCTGGCTACTGGTATTAAAAGATCACTCCAGGTCCTGTGTAGAGAATAAACTCTAGACAGGGCAGGATGGAATCAGCTAAGCCAGGAAGGACAGACCCAGGGGCCAAATGACAGTTGCAGACTTGAGAAAGAAGGTTCGGAAAAACTGCTAGTAGATAGATTTTAAGGAACAGGTAATGAGATTTGTTGCTTGACTCAACGTTCAACTTACGGGGTGTGTGTGTGTGTGTGTGGGGGGGGGGTGTTTGCTGAGGCTAACAAGCCTGGAAGGCCAAGAACTGTTTCCAGAGACAGAAAGCACAAATGCACCATGAAGAGGTGCTTGCTCTCCATTTCCCACTGTATGAACTATATAAACTGCCATGACAAGTTTATCACTAGTGCACCGAGCAATCTGTATTGGTTTTCATTCCCTCATCCAACTTCAAAAATATATGGAGCAGAGGCTAGACAGACATGGGCTGTAACCCCACAGCTCCAGAGGCATAGGCAAAGGATCCTACAGCAAGCTGGCTGGCTAGACCAAAGGAACTGGGCTCTGAGGTCAACTCAGAGACTCTGCGCCAGTCAGTATACAGACACACATGAAGACACACCACACACAAATTTTAAAAAACAACAGATCAGCTGGCGGCTTGTGTAGGATAAACTGTGAAACAGGTTGCTCAGGAACTCTAACTACTACCAAAGTGCTCTACCGTGCAGTTCAAATGGACCGTGGTGCAAAGGAAGAGGTGGAGGCAGAGAAGCACTGAATGCCAGAAGCAGAGAGATGGAGACAGGTGTTCTATAAGCCATCAGTATCCATCTGTCTGTCTTAGCTATACAGCATGCTTGCAAGAACTAAAGTCTCACCTTTTAAAATGTATCAAGTTATCTAATCTGGTTTTTAATTTTTAAATTTTTTTCTCAGATTACGTAAATCTGTGTATCTCCGTGTATGGGTACAGGCACAGGGATGCAGTGTCCATGTGGCAGAGTCACCTGACATACTGCTCGAAGCTAACCTTGGGTCTCTGCCAGTGGAGCAAGAGCTTTTAACAGCTGAGCCATCTCCCCAGAACCCTCATCGGGTCTTTTTAAGGTAACTTAACTATTCAATAATAATTTTATTTCTCAGACAGACTTTATCTCTGGGCTGGAGAGACGGCTTGGTAGTTAAGAGCACTGGCTGCTGATCCAGAGGACTAGGGCTCACTGCTCAGCACACAGTGTGTGTAACTTCAGTTTCGGGAACCTAGTGTGTTCTTCTGATCTGCACTGCACACACACGGCACAATTTCTGCTGTCCCACTCTGCTCTGCATAGAAGCGGGCTCGTGCACCTCGCCTTCCCTGTCTGTCTCTTGTACTCTTGTCTTTGCTTAGAGACCGAGTGTAGGTACAAAGGGGCCACAGGCCTGACAGGGCAGGAAACGATGCTTGTGGCTCTAATGCTAGTTAACATGCCATCCTCAAATTGTGACATCTTCTACACTAGCCTCAGATCTCTAATTTATAAACTACACACAGTTCCATGCTCAAGCCCCCATTTTACTACCTTACAAGCAGTGAAGATGTCACAATGTCCTCACTGCAGATCCACTGCACAAACCCGAAACATTCCGTGGTCAATACTCATTCTCACAGCAAGTCAGAGCAACCACAGGGGCCTCCCTAAGTGCCTAGGGCACACATTCCAAGTCTGAGGAGTCTCATTAAAAAGAGAAAAACTCAAATAACTACTACCAGGTTCCAGGGACTCTTATCTTAGGATAAGATACAGTTCAACATCTGAAATCTGAGGGTAGAGAAAAACCAGTTGGTGACAGACACATGTGTGGAAGTGTGAGCAAGGAAGTTGGGACACAGAGCTCCAACAGCAAAGGTCCAAGTATTGCCAAGGAGCTGCACCAGGGAGCAGAGGAAAGCTCGGGGCAGCGTGCGCTCGTAACTAACGAGGGACGCTGGAGCAACCCCATGACAGTGTGCCCAGGGACAATGAGCTGCTGTCCTATTTCATGCTGTTACAATCAAGAGCGATTGTTATTCAACTGTGCTGGCCTTCTCAAATATCTTAAAGTACTCTTCAGAGTGGAGAAGTGGCTAGCAAACAGGAGAAGGGGCTACATGTGATTCCTCATGGCTGAAATTCCAGTTCGTGGAAGCTGACAGACCAACAAAAACATAGTGAAATCTTGACTCAGAAATCAGTAAAACAAACAAACAAACACCGAAAGTCCATAGAAATGAAGTCCAACTGTCCCGTAGGTAACTTACCTGGTCATACCCATAAGGCCTCTGCTGGGGTGGCTGGGGTGGTCCTGGCTGTGCTGGTCTATAGCCCCCATACTGCTGACCTTGACCCTGAGGATAATTAGGATACTGAGGGCCTGGACCGCCCTGGGAAGGACCTGCAAGACAACATCAACAAGCATTCATGTAAAGCTAAGGCTAGAAAGAGGCGCTACTAAATTCTTGTATCTAAACTGAAAAGGGCAGGTAGCACCTTGACTTTCGCACAGTGTACTGTGAGATCAAAGTTTAATGACTGTAGTAAAAGCAAAAACAGGGGGCTGTTGGCTGCTTCAGTGAAATGACTGTGCTAAATGTCCACGCCAGAAGCTGATAAGGTAAGCTCAAGAAGCAAGGACCCAGGGTAACCCCTCAATAATAACTGTGGTATGAACTGTGGGTTAGCCAGGGCCAGGTCCTGGTTCTATATCCCAGAAGCATGTCCAAATGACATAATTTCTGACTAAAATTGTGAAATCAATGACATTCTAATTGTGTGATTAAATTTACATTTGAAATCATCAAAATGGTAGGGCTGTACCACATCAATACTTATCTCTCCAAAAGCCACAAGCTGCAATGTGAAAAAAGCTAACTGAAAAGTTACACTCTGAAAGCTGGAGATACAGCTCTGTAACTCCAGTTCCAGGGATCCTAAGCCCTCTTCTGACCTTCTGATGCACCGAGCACACACGTGGTACACATACATACAAACAGGCAAAACATTCATCCCCATGAAATACAACTAAATAAATCTTGAAGAGAATTTACACACTGAGAATCAAGCACTGTTAAGACTGTAATTGTCCCCACGGGGAAGACCACCTCTGCTAAGCAAGCATGTCGGCTTTAGAAACTCAACTAGCGACAGCTGAGAAGATCAAGTTCTCCAGCGGAGGCTCACGGCTTGGACACTTCAATGTCTTCCCCAACAGCCACTTAAGGCCTACCATAAAAATAGTGACTACAGAGAAACTCAGAAGAGAATAATCAACTTTCAACTTCATATAAATTCTACCAAATTATTCAATTTTTAAATTCCAAATTATTAAAACTCCAAATTAAAAGACAATTTGACAAGTAAGGGTTATAAATGAGCACAATGGGAAGGTCTCCGTTAGGATTCCTGCTATTCAACAAAACAGTATTTAATGAAAAATGTTCTCTCTTTTCAGTGAGAACTGTTTCTCAAGTCGGTATATTTAGCTCATTTAGTAACATCAAACTTGTCTCAAGCACTTGCAACAAATGAGTAATGGAGGTAGTCTAAATGTAAGACTGGATGGGCTGATGGATGGATGGAAAATGTAAGTCAGGAGAGAGAGAGAGGGAGGGAGAGGGAGAGAGAGGGAGAGAGAGAGAGGGAGAGAGAGAGAGGGAGAGAGAGAGAGAGAGAGAGAGAGAGAGAGAGAGAGAGAGAGAGGGAGAGAGAGAGAGAGGAAGAGAGAGAGAGGGAGGGAGAGAGAGAGAGAGAGAATATGAATATTATTTAAAGTCAGACATTGTAATAAATTTTTTGGTGTTGAAAGTATTATGGATTAAATCCAGGGCTATGTGTGCGCCAAGCAGAGGAAGCAGACAGCCCTATGAATATTTCACAGAAAATACCACTGTACATGCTCCTAAACGCTGTATAATACACAAATGCAGTAAATATACCCTTTTAACTAGAATGACAAAGGCTGTCTTTACGTATCTGAATAATTTTTCCCTAGCACTAAAAAAAGGTACTTTTAATAGTGAGTTACTTATGTACCTAATTGTCACTTATCTAAGTTCATACAAAGCTACTTACTATTCATACACGTCAAACAGACCCGAAAATTCAATCTTCTCGCTTTTAAACTGTCATCTTACCGATAAACAATGAACCGTCTTCAGTCTATAGTTCTTTTGCAACAGATTATTAGTTTACCTAAGGGGAACACCTGCATGTATGTGTCTGTGATGATGGTGTGTGTTCACATGTATGTGCATGCTCATGCTAAGTGCCTTATTTTTTGAGACAGACTCGGGGCCTCATGCATGGGCAATAAACACTTTTACCAACTCAGTTATTTTCCCATGCCTTTAAAAGGAACATTTGAAATCAACACTGTAATGGTAGACTGGGCCAAAATTATGCTTAAAAAATGGAGAGGAGAGGAAGATGATGCCATGGGTAAGGGCACTTACCACCAAACCCGGTAACCTGAGATCAATTTCCAGGACACACAAGATAGAAAGAAGTGACTCATAGGCTATCCTCTGACTTCTACATGTGCACTGTGCTCCAGCATGCATGCACACACATACTCGAGCCACACACACACACACACACACACACACACACACACACACACACACCACTTTCTCTAAACAGATAAACAGATGACTAACATTTACAATGTAAAAGTTAAATGCCACTTTTCAAAAGAACTCTTACCACATCTTTTGGTAGACAAGCAAATGAAGAAGCTCTTACCATAACCCTGCTGCTGCCCTGGGTAGCCCTGCTGCCCTGGGTACTGCTGCTGCTGGGCCGGGTACCCTTGCTGTGGAGGCGCTCCTTGATAAGCATCTTGCTGTTGGCCATACTGTGAGTTTCCTACCGAAGAAACGGAGAAGAGGAGAGCACAGCCCTGAGAAGTCTGCTTAATTAACGGTTTAGGTTTCCCTCTAAGATGCGCAGCCAACAATACAAGAACAAAATGAAATGCCATATTGATTTTTTTAAAAACTTAACAAAACAAAGAAAAAACTCAAACCAAACAGAAGGATTTCGGCCAAACAAACTGCAGTTAAAGCCAATTGTGCAAGGTTGAACTGCAGCTCTTTCAGCGCCTCTGCCATTACGAGCATTACAGTGACTGGAGCATCAGTCCTAAGATCATGACTATGCTAAATAAAATAAAAAAGACAAAATTAAAGACAGCTACAAGAGCACACACTAGCTACACAAGATCAGCAAGCTGTTCCCTAAAGGCTCTGTGCCGAGAGGCAAATAATACATATGTATGTGTGTGCGCGAACACTCACGAACGCATGCACGCACACACGTGCACACACACACACACACACACACACACACACACACACACACACACACACGAAGGGTGGGGGATGGGGTTGATGGATTTATGTTCAAAGAGGAAATTTCCACGGAGCAAAAAAGCATTTTTAAATGTTTTAGTCTTTTTACTGCTGTTAGAAATGACACATCACGGTTACACATTCTAAATACTTGTAAGGTTGTTTTGGGGGGCCTTGTAACTTTCCAGACAGCCAGCCACTAGTACTCTACAAGAGCTTTGCATGGGAAGACACTGTCCTATGCAAGAACTGCCATTCCTGGGGGAGGGATGTGCATGTGTATGTGTGAAGGTATATAGATACCTCCTTCGTAGTAATGTTGGGAGGATTCCTCATAAGGCCTATCGTAGCCTTGTTCAGGATACGACGGTTGCTGATAACCGTAATCATTATGACCTACATCAATTCGACAAGAGACAGGAAGAAACGTTAATGGCCACTGAGTGAAAACCCTACAATTAAACTTTAAGATAAAACTGAAGAAAAAAAAAAGAAAAAGAAATGGAAATACATAAAAAATAATTTTAATTGCATTAGCAAGTATTTACCAACGTGAATGCTTTCACCGTGAGATAACAAGCAAACTATTTCAAGGCAAACAGCAGTAGTCTTAGAAATGTTACATGCATCCTCTTACTGTGATAATACTCACTGAGGGAAAAACCCTTACATTCTACTTTAAAAAAGAAAACAAGAACATTTAGGCCTCTCACGTGTAAGTACTTCGAGTCAAACCAGAATGAATAAAGGATGCAAGTTCTCATGTTTTGTCAAACCCCTGTTCTGCTGGTCGCCATTTCCACAGCACACACTAAAAACAATACAAAATATGAGGTCCTTGAGTTTGTACCCCAAAAAGAAGCAAATGAGTTTCTAACACTCTAATATTTTGTTGCATCAACTACAAGTGTTTCACAGTATTTTCAGATGCAAAAAAAAAAAATCATTTTTTTAAAGATATGATCTCTCACCCTGGATTCCTGGAGCTTGCTCTGTAGACCGGGCTGGCCTCAGACTCACAGGGACCCACCTAACTGCCACCCAAGTAAATAATATATCTTATAATGCTGTCATTTTAAGCATCTTTAGAAATATTTCTAGAGTATTCGGCACATAAAAGTTCATAAAATTCATATTTCCTGAGTTGGAGGACACCTTAAGTTTTGTGACTCAGTAATTTCCACCAGTAGACTAGATTACTTTTTTATTCTTTAATGTTTCACTTAAAAACAAAATGTAGGAACTAATGTCTTCAGTTGCTAACACGGTACTAATGTTCTGAAAAGGCCTAATTAGGAAAAGGACTATAGTTTCATTTATTGTCACACTCACTGTGTTAGTATGAAAGACCCCAAGCCACTTTAAGAGTTGGTAATATATGATCAACCAGCTTACCATGGCCAGTGGCCAGCTGAGACAAAAGTTCTCTTGTGATCCAATCATGTTCAATCACTGAAGTGCTGCCCAGTGTCTCTCTTGCTATCTATCATTAAAGGTCTGCAGAGACAGCGAGACCACACGGCCCACGAGGACTAAAGCCTCCGCTGCCTGACCCTCTGCAGAAAGACTCAGCCAAGCCCTCAGCCATGTATTTATGGGCAAGATTATCTGGACCTGAGAGATGATACTCAATTTTGTCTAAGGAAATATAATTGTGGATAATACTCTGTACATGTCAAGACCTATTACCCACACCTGTGAAAACATGGTACTACTTAGATTAAGAATAGCTAGCACAAGTAATTATAACTTTAAGTTTTAATAGTTACAAAAATAACGTGCCTATTTTTAATAGAAAGGTTTAAAGTAAGACAAAGTTCATATTTCAGGAAATGTTCAGGACCCAAAACCAGTAAGTCCAATACAATTGCTTATGATGTCATGCTTTAAAGTCGATTCTAAAAGATCATTTATTCTCAGCTTACTTATATTTACCAGATAGATGTCATCTTTTAAATTCTTCTGTAAATGTACTATTATTAAAGTCTAAATTTAAGAAAAAAAAAAGCTTAATATATCCACAAATAACTAAGGAGAATAAAAAGCGCTGATACTCTGAATACCAATGGCAAGAAAACCCGAGATAAAAACACACAGCTCTAGCCAGTTATGTATACACAGCACCATCATTAACAAATGTTTCTTGTGTGTAAACCTGGTGACAGTGCTTAATGCAGACACATCTTTATGATTCATATATTGATGAAAAGCAGCGGGTTTAAACTCAAACTCCATCTTCTTGTTGGTTTGCATTAGGTTTTAGCCAATCCTAAAATTTTAGCCTGAAGTTTCTTTGCCTTATAATTTCATTAAAAAATAACCAAAGAATTTACTCTATAGACAAAACATTTTGGCAAAACACTTCATTAAAAGACAAATTACTATGTAATATTACTTATTACATATTTACCTATTAACTTAGTAACATTACCTATTAATATTACCTATAATTTTACCAGTTCTACATGTTTAATTTTTCTTCAACATTAAACTACAAAATTTTCAAACGAAAAAATATTTTTAAAACACCTAGTAGAAATCTACTTGTGCACCTAGGTTATCACTGCATGTACTTTTCTTAGTGTGCAGCATTCCTTGGCAGAGTCAACTTCTTACAATTCACATTCCCTTTTAGAGGCAGGGGAAAGCCACTAATTAAAAATCCAAATGCCCTGCTTATTCAGGCTACTCTGTGCACCTCATCCATTGCTACATTGTGGACACAGCTTTTTTCCAGAGCAAGCATATAAGGCACAATTCTTTCCTAAGAATGAAACTTAAATAAAAGGAAAAATACCAAGAGCCATATTCTCTATAGCATTACAGAGCTATGTTCTTTATACAGAATGCATAAGAGCCATATTCTCTATAGCATTACAGAGATGTATTCTTTATATAGAATACGTAAGAACCATATTCTCTACAGTATAACAGAGTTATATTCTTTATATAGAATGCGTAAGAGCAAAAAAGGGTAAACTTTATAGCATGTGAATTAAATCTATAAAAATACAAAAAATAAGAAGAAGAAATCTGTGGCGTTTGTTTTAGGCTCAAATGAACAATTCTAAATATAAAAGAAGCCTCTTTCACGTGCAAGACACTATAGTGATGAAGTGCAGCTCCTGTCCTGATGGCACCAACAGTGACCACACAAATATACCTTGAATTAATTACAAATCAATGACCTTCCTGTCGGTACTGTACAATATCCAAATGCTTATAAACGAAGAAACAAGTTGGTAGTTTCTTCGCCCTTCATTAAAAAGTTGTGAGATGCTTTCTACATTAATACTGGGCAGGGATAGAAAACGGGAAGGGTAACATTAGGAGAGATTACCATCGGGGTAATATTGCTGGTTCATGCCTTCTGGAGGACCTTGTCCACCATGACTGTATTGGTCCCCATAATAGTCTTCCTGGCCTGAGTACTGCTGTGGTGGGCCTGAAAAACCACAACCAGTCAAGACATAAGTCATTTGTTGTCTACGTCATCAAAGGCGGTCTTTCTAATCTGCTGTTACGAGAGAGTACTTCTGAGCTGGAGATTCCCCACAATGCTTTGGCACTATTCCCACATACACACGCACAAGCAGGTCCACACGTCATTTATAAAATCAATATAAGACCACCCACATAATATCAAACAATACCAACTCAGAAAAACAACCTCTGAAACAGAGGCTGAAGTTGGTGGGAAACTGACTTCCTTTTACTTTAGTATTAAAGCACTTTGAAGTAATATTGGCTTTGTTCTCTGTCATAGATTAAGCAGCTTCTATAAAAGGGAGGGAGGGGCATTTTCTGTTGTAAATGAGTAAACTTGACAGAAGAGTTTCTGATGTCGTATTTCCCTAGAAAGCACCAGACAAACGGATGCTGTGTGCTGGGAAGCTCCTATATGCCTCAGGACCCTCAGTACCCTAAACCCTGCTACCTTTGTGGGTGTTAGAGGAGTCCAACAAAAGCCCTGGATTTACCTAGATAAAAAGTTCATTAAAACTTCAAGCCTTTCCATTACTGTTATTTACACTAAGCAAGGAACTTTCCAACCGGCTGCTCACCCTGTTGCGGAGGTCTGTAGGGAGGCATCTGTCTCTGGCCCATCATGTGACTGCCTTGGTTAACTTGACCCATCAGCCCCATGGGTGCCTGCTGTCCTTGGTAATGCTGTGCACCTCCAGGTGGCATGCTGTACTGCTGAGAAGGAGGCTGCTGGTGCATCATGGGACCTGAGGACACACAAAACATCATCATACAGTATTCTGGCACAACAGTTCAACATTTGATGATAGATACAAGAATTTCTTACTACATAATACGCTAAATGTGTAATCAAACAAGGAACACTGATTTCAAGTATGAGTTTTTGCACAAAGCTCACCCGCCCAAATTTATCTGCAAATAAGGAAAACAACCAAACCCTAGTGGTGGCCCTCAGGCTCCCCAGAGCACTCCAGTCATCTTTAAAAACGCAAAATGGAGGCAAGCTCTTCTTTCTGGCGTATATATCTCCTATTGGCATCATCTCACCATCTCGCTGACAAAAGCATCCTACTGCAGTATTGGGAAAGCGATGGAAGCAAAACCAACAGAAGAAACCAACTTCCGGTTTCTATTTCCTTCTCTATGTAGAGGGGAGGATAAAGATTTATTTATTTGTGCATATGTGAGCTTGCATGATTTATGAACATCGCATACATACAGGAGCCCAGGCTAGACAAGGGAGGGCATTCGGAGACCAGGAGTCTCAGGTGCTGTGAGCTGCCCACTGTGAAGGCTTGGGCCTGAAAGCAGGTCTACTGGAAGAGCAGCAAGCACTTCTAACCACTGAACCATCTCTCTGGCCCTACACTTTCATTCCTTTTCTAGACATTTATTCAATAGTGTTAAGCAGAAACCTAGGAAAGCACTTCATAAACAGATAAGTTGAATTTTATAAACTTCAATTTTATGCAAAATTTCAAAAAAACCATCTTTCCCTTTCTCAAATCTTTTACAGGCTTTATGAAATTGAAATCAATGGTCTAAGGTACTTTTTGTTAAAAAAAAAAAAAGTTGTTTTTTTGTTTTTTGTTTTTTGAAATCCTGTGTGTCTGGGTGTTTTGCCAGCATGTATGTGTGTGTCTTGTCTGTGTACCATTTGTAATGTATGCCCAGTGGTAGAAGAGGGCACCAGATCCCCTAGAACTGGAGTTACAGACACGAGAGCTGCCATGTGGGTACTGAGAACTGAACCAAGGTCCTTTCCAAGAATGACTGAACAATCTCTCTAGCCTCCAGGACCGTGGTGTTCCTTTATAAAAAAAATTACCTTGCCCACCCTCTAACCTGACCTCACCCCCCATCTCCCTATCCTAAAAACTACCAGGAAAAGGCCTGTAATAAGGTATAGGCTACACAGTCTACAGGGGAAGAATCCAGTACCATTGCTCCAGCAGAGTGAAGATCTGTCACACGACCAGCAGTGGCCAGCTCATCCTGAGCTGCCACCTAGCAGTGTAAGATGCTCCTGGAGGGCTGCTGGGTGATTAGAGAGCAGAGTCCCTCTCATCCCACCTACCTCTCTCCCCGCTGTCTCAAGAGTGTATGTGTCATCTTGCAGTATCCTGCTTACATAGCATCAAACTTGGAGTGACATAAAATACAAAATGCAAAGACCAGAGAGCTTGGGAAAGTTCTGCAGGCCACAATGACACAGGTGAGTCATAGGCTCATTATTAATTTAAACAAACACCTAAAAACCAAGCAGCCCACTTCTATAAGTCTCCAGGGACAATGTGAGCACAAAGCTTCACCTCCTTGGCAATGTGACTATCTTGTTTTGTCGAAAGAAATGCTTTTTCAGAGCTATCATCTTCCTAACTACCTTTGTGCATTCTGCTGTTTTTCAAATTCTTTTCTCTTCTCTCCAATTTTTATTATCATAAACAAAAGTTCTCCAAAGCTTACTCTGGAGCACTTCAGCATGGAAACGGCTTGGTAAGACTGGCAAGGACACACGCCCTGGGCACAGTGCTAGCTTTTCACCTGCACTTCCTAGGTCGCCCTGGCAAGGGATCCACAGAACAAGATCCACTAACAGTACGTGGGAAGACTACAAACGTCAGGCCCGAGTTCAAAGTGCACCTCTGTGCCTGACCTTTTCACCTGTACTTCTCAAAAACGTTGGGTGTTGTGCCTGCAGGACTGGTGTGAGCCATGCACATGGCTACAATCCTAGGAGCCCATTGGATCCCTGGAACTGGAGTTACAGACAGTCCTGAAATGCTATGTGGGTAACTGGAATCGGAACCTGGGTCCTCTGGAAGAACAAGTGTTCTTAACCACTGAGTTATCACTCTATTCATGAATTTTTGATATGACATGATAAAAACATTTTAATGCTGTTACTCATAATTTATTGTCAACTTGACTGGGCTTTTTAAAATTTCATTTTCAAGAAATGAAAAGTTTGCCTCATTTTTATTATCAAAAAATGACCAAAGAACTCCTGACTTAGAAGTAACACTGCAGTTAGACAATAGCTGTATACTGGAGCCAAAGTGAAAGTCATAACTAGGGGGGTAGGAACTCTCAAAAATCTATCACAGCAATGTTCTCTCTCACTTGAAAGTCCTTCCAGGAGAAAGGAACTCCAGCACAAGGCACAGCCAGGCCATCTGAGCCCCATCCCTCGGGACTGCCGGGTGCTCCAACCCAGTCACCACCCTCCTTTATTCTCTGTCACTTTCTCCAGAACCTCACATCACTCAGGATCAATGTAAATCCAGAGAGAACGAGACAGGATGGCACTGCCAACCAGGCATTCTGCACCACCCCCTTGAAGGCCTATCCATGAAAAGAATTTAAAACCTCACTTCTGATCATCTAGGATCCTATGATTTTCCTTAACACACTAAGGGAAACAAAGTAGTTAGAGGACACAGGCTGCAAGTCTACGAATGCATACCCCAGAATCAAGTAGCTTACAAAATGAGCGTGTCACATAATCATTGCTGCAAATACCAGTAGCATATGTTATATTGTCTCACAGATATTCCTTGTTTCTATATAAATAATGTGGCCGGGGAGTGGTGGCGCACGCCTTTAATCCCAGCACTTGGGAGGCAGAGGCAGGCGGATTTCTGAGTTCGAGACCAGCCTGGTCTACATAGTGAGTTCCAGGACAGCCAGGGATACACAGAGAAACCCTGTCTCGAAAAACCTAAAAAAAAAAAAAAGAAAGAAAAAGAAGTAATTACACTATATAAATAATGTTGATATTAGGTATACTACAAAGTAGATAATACATAAGCATTAATCTAAGATACAATTTTTCATGTATTTTGAAAAGGATATAAACTACCATTCCCACAATAATCCAGTCTGAATTTTACAACTTACTACACAGTCTACAATAACAATTCTACATTAAACATTAAAAATTTTAGTCCAAAATTGGTATATTTTATATTACTGAAATCCTGAGCTCGATGAAAATTTTGTCAAGAAGGTCAAGAAGCCAATTTGAGTGCTTCTTATTAAGTACCAGGTCCAAGGCAAGGAGTCAGGGAGACAGACAGATGTGACAGGTACTGTATCCATCTCAGAGGCTTACACTCAGACCAAAAAGAACATACAGATGTTAACAGTCCATTACTTTGGGAAGAATCTTAAGTGGTGTTATTTTGAAAACATTCTTCATATGTGCACATACAAACACACACCCACTCATATCTTCACACACAAACCACCTTCCCAGTTGTTTGTTTGTATGAATCATGTCTTACAATGGCTGTGATTCTCAGCCCTATGACATTCACCAAATGTCTGGTGGTCCCCAGAGGGGACTGCCACCTGAGTAAAGGACAGAGACACAGCTCAACAATTCCTCAGTATGTGGCACAGTCCCCACAACACAAAATTAGCTACAACCTCAAGACCATCAATAGCAGCAAGGTAAGACTTCATGGTTTTCTCATGGGAGCTGTAGGCATTTTCAAAAACTAGTCTGAGAACTATTATGGATTCAGCTTGCTGGTGATTAAAAAGTAAAAAAAAAAATAAAAATAAAAATGAGCATGTTATGGACTAATAAATGTAGCAACAGACAAAGCTAGGGCGTATTTTAGTTAGCAACCCCTCAAAAAATTACTTACAGTTTGAACTAGACTCCATGGTGACTCATAAAGACATTTGTTGGCAAGTATCTGTCATGACTGAATTCTAAAACCTCTGGACTGGATGACACAGTGACACTGTTGTGAAGAGTCCTGTCTACCTAAGTAGAGAGTCTCAGGGATGGACTACATCAGAACGCCAAGTTTGGGGTCAGGAGTATAGCACAGTTGCTACACCACTTGCCTAGTATTCACCAAGCACCAGCTTGGATTCCTGGCATGACAGAAACCACGCTTGATGATGCATGCATGCCTATGTCCCAGCGCTCAGGTGAGGTAGGCAAAAGGCTCAAGAACTTAAGATCATCTTCAGCTACCTACCAAGCTGGAGCTACAGCCTGGGCTCCAAAGCAGGAAGGGTATGGGAGGGCGTGGAGGGAGTGGAGGGTAGGGGGAAATGTGTAATTATTTTACAATTTCAAAGTAACAGCTGAGGGTTGACAATGCCACAGTGAAGGACATTGGTTTCCTAAAGTGCCACTGCAGGAGGACATATAACTAACCAGTCAGTCAATACACGATACAGTGTGACCGAAGCAAACAGAGCACCTGTCATGAACAAAGAGTATAGAGGAAAGAAAAATAAACAATTATATAATGAAAATTACTGAGATTTCTAGGAACAGCCTAAGTATAAGTTACTGTGCCTATAGACAAGGTGCATGGAATAATTTAAAACATGTATCTAGCCTGGCAGTGTTTCCCAGTTCATGTTCTAGGCTTCTTACAGGTTCCGGACTTTTCATATTAACCAGAGGTTAACTTTTCTAACCAGAAATTGGTGAATTATAACAAAATATCTGGTATGGACTACAACAGAAAGGCTAATGTACCTCAAACCCTTTATCACAGAACCATGGTATCAGCAATATTCTTAAGACTTGCCAGTCCTGACGGTAAGGAAGAACAAAGATAACATGATTCAGTCGTCCAGAACACTACTTACCAAACAAGACGTTTCCATGAAATATTTTAAATTTAGTGCATGAATCATGATTTGCGATCTGCTCCCTTAAGTTTATAGTAGTGAGGCCAATACTGGAAACAGTCCCCTATAATCCCACATACTACAGTTGTTTTGATTTCTGTATTTGCGGTCCTATAGATCCTAAACTTAGAGTTTGGAGTAATAACAAAATGTAGATAATCATGGGGGCAATCTATTAATCAAATCTACCCTATGGAGTCCACGGCACAGGGAAACTATGTGTGCATCTTCTCAGAACAGTGCGAGGTAAGCGATGAGGTGATCCACTGCCCCTTCTAATGCTGCCTCTGCACCTCTTCCTGATGTGAATCTGTACCCCTGGGACAATAACCTAACACATTACATGTAGAATGCATTCAGTTGTGCTCCATGAGTTTTCCAAAAAGTTGCAAAACCTAAAGGGGCTTGGAAACCACTCACACTTGCTCTCTACTCGCAAGTGAGGCGAGCCCTCGTGAGTAGAAATAACTCAGAACGCTGTGGCTGCACTACGACAATTCAAACTCAGTATCAACTTTTATGTCTATCTAAACAAACGCTTGAAGACTGTGACCAAGTGGTTTGATATAAATGATGCAAACGTACTGAACCAGAACTTTTACAGGAGTTCTTTACTTAATCTTTCATCACCATCATTATAGGCAGGAGGAATAGTGTGGGGTGGGCAGGTCAAAAGACAACTTTTTAAACTTAGTCTATTTGTGTTTTGCCTGCACATATGTATGTATGCATGCATCAGACTCCCTGGAACTGGAAATATGGACAGTTGTGAGCCATCATGTGGGTGCTGGGAATTGAACCCAGGTCCTCTGCAAGAGCAGCCAGTGCTCCTAACCACTGGGCCATCTCTCCAGCCCCCAAAGGACAATTTCCAGGAATTGGTTCTCCCTTCTCCCACAAGCACAGAAGAGTCAGGCTCAGGTCAGGCTCAGGCTCAGGCTCAGGCTCGGGTGTGTGCAGCCACAGAGCAATCACACTGGCTCATGTCACTTAAAGAATTCTGATCAATTTATCAAAAGCCCCAGGTTCAAGGCTTGACTCTAAGTCAGAGAGTTATGTTCACAGAGCTCTGGAAGCACATTCTTAACAGAAAACAACAATCTGTGGAACTCTTTAACCTGACACTAAATTAGTAAGATTCTATTAAAGAAAGAAAGCTACATTTAATGTTTGTGAATGAATATTGCTTCTAGCAAATATAACTGTGGGCCATTTCCAGAGGCTTTTCTGCTCTCATTTGGTTGGTTTTTGCTTTATTAAATATCTTTCCAGATTATGACATGACATTTAGTTCCAATTCCTAGTCACCAAAGAAACAGATGTACATGACCCCAAGCACTCTTCTCTGCACCAGGTATGAAGCTGTGAACAGAGAAGCCCCGCTCCCTGCCTCTTTGGCTTTCAGTTCTACCACACCTTGCTCCATGCAGGTTTGTACGCGTGCACATGGCTCTCTGAGTAAAGGCTCCAAGTGATGACTGAAGAACTTCACTTATGACGGGAGGTAGATGCTGGGCTGTCTGTTACATTCAGACTGTGGTGTTCTACAATACTAAAACTTGCTCAAAAACAGCACAGAGGAGATTATTTTGCTAAAACTATAGTTCAATAACTGAATTTTAAAAAACATTATATTTTTCTCAATTTCTAGATGTGTAAAACTCAACAAACTGAGAGTAGATACCAATCACAATGCTATCACATATCCATAGATACTACCACATATCTATAGATACTACCACATACCCATACTATCATATATCCACAGATACTATCACATATAACCTGTTTTAATAATATTTAAAGCCAACTGCTGCTAATACACATTTCAATAACCACAAATATATGAAAGTATAATTAGTAAATAAAATGAGGTCAAAAATTTTTTAACAGTCTTGCTATGTTGCTCAGGCTGGTTCACACTCCCAGGCTGTAGTGAGCCTGCTCAGCCTCTGCATCTACCTTGGACTTGAGGCAGATGCTACGGCATGCAGCTTTGTGCAGCTATTTAAAATAATGTATTTAAACAAGTTTCAACAATTTTGTTACTAACTTTCCTATCAATTTAAACTTTCTCACAAACTATTAAAAAGCTAAAAGCAGTTTTTACTCGTGAGGTCCAACTAGAAAGGGGACCATGAGAGGGAGCTGGAGATCCTACAGGAGAGGGGACTAGAGGAGACGCTGAGCCAAGAGCTAAAGGGAAGGTCTGGGCACAGGGAGGACAGACAGGAGGTGGACAAGTCAGAACAGGCATAATGAAACACACACATGGAAATACCGTAATGGAAGCCAGCAAGCACCTTAAAGTCCAAAGGATTCCGCAATCCTACCCCTCTGCCTTACTGTACTGCATGGCCTGAAAATACCAGCACCAGCAGTGTAAGCTAACAGACTCATTCTCTACTTCTTAAACAACCTAAAAGATAAAGATGAATAAAATTATCTACATATTAGATTTATTTGAGTAAGTAAAATTACAATAAAAAAGATTTGGAGAGTATTTTTTCCCTTTAATTTCACATTTAAAGTAGAGAGAATGATGGGAGGGGTGGCAGAATTTTTACAGCAATTTACAAAGGGAGTAGGGAGAATAAGCTTAAAAGCTACTAGAAGAATGCATTTAGACTCTGCCCTGCTTTGACACAGCAATTAGCAGAACAGAGCACCACTTACTGGCTTTAGAAGACTACTACCACTTCGGGGCTGGGGGAGGTTAACTGGCACAGAACTCTGAGTTGTTATTTTTTCCAAGTGTGATGGCTCACTTGACTAAACTTCCCTTTTCTCAAGCCCATGATGTTGAATGCGAGAGCTCACCCTACCAGAGAACTCCATCTTAGAATTTCACCAATATTTAGTTTCCATGACTCAAAAGCCCCATTAATAAAAAATGGTGGCTTGTCTAAGGATTTTTGCCATTTTCAATGCAAACAAAAACATTAAAGCAACCTTCATTAAATTTAAGACTTAGAGGCAGGGAAATACCAAGGACTGAACTTTTGGTCCTGAAAGAAATTTTTAAGAGGTGAAAATGCAATAAAAGTTCTCTTTCATTTTTAGAATTTTTCAAGCTTCCTTAAAAAGGACTATTTGCAATGTAGTGCACTCTAAAACAGAAAAAAAAAAGGTATAAATATAGCTTACTGTTATAAAAGCTACCTAAAGAAAGGTAGTTTTTAATGAAATAAACAACTTTTTAATGAAACTTTCATTTGTCAAAACAGCCTTTGATTCAATAGGTCCCATGTAACTTGAGCAAGTACCTCTGATCAAAATTATATAACTATATTCATATTTTGAAATTATAATATTGCATCATAAATAATTTTCACACAAGCCCAACTTCCTTCATCTGAGTACTTCTGAGTGGTCTGATGTCTTGGTTTTTTTTTTTTAATCATCAAATGTGAGGCTCACTACATATTGTAGAGAAATAGCTTTACGGTGGCAGTGGGCCAAATGCTTTGACACAGCAATTAGCAGAACAGAGCGCCACTTACTGGCTTTTAGTTATTATTTACAGGATACTTAAAAGAGAAACATGGTAACAACTTCACTAAGACTAGTAATAAACTGTAGTGCACTCCAGCATGCTGAGCAGCTAGCCAGGGGTGTGGGCGCACCCCCACTAAACACTGGTAGGCAATTTAATTTCTAAACACAAATAAATAAAAAGACTCAAGGTAGCCTCAGCTCAGTGTTGTTTCTTATGCGCACAACTGTGACTTGGTTCACACTGAAGACAGAGGCTGTCTCAAATGACCAAGACAAATACACATTTGACTCAAGAAAGACACAAACGTTTGGTACTGGGGCTTGTGTTTGCAATCCCAGCAATGGAGAGGCTAAGGCAGAACTTCCTCGTGTCTGGACCAGCCTCGACTACATAGTAGGAACCTGTCTTAAAAAGCATCCCCGTTTCAACAGATTGCTTGTGAGAGCCAGACACCTTGGACACCTGGTGACAAACAGTGTCTACTTGACACAACAGGGAAAATGTACCTAAGAAATCTCAATAAAACAGTTGCCTAAACAGGACCAGCATGACAACACAAGGTGAAATGCCAATATGCACAGAGAAGCTTCCACAAAGAATCCCTTACACCTAGATGAAGAGCTACATGTGGTCAATGGCTGCTGAGGGATAGAGAATGAGGCGCAAGGTCCCGAACAGGCTATCTGATCCCAAGTGGTCAGCCCTAACCGCACGCAATGCTACATGAACTCCAGTTATATATGTATGTTATGTGTACAAATGCGCACACACAACACACATCCAGCAATAAGAAAGAGATCCTGCGTTAGGAGGAGGAGTATGACGGAGCTGGAGCTGGGGAAGGGAGGGGCAGGGATGCTGTGGACAGTTACCTTGATTTGGTTGCATATTCATGTTTGGTCTGGGACCATAGTTTCCCATTGGCTGCCCCTGACTCATTGTCATCTGGTTCTGCACGGGCATGCTCTGGGACGATGGCACAGAATGGTTGTAACCTCCCATGGAGCCGTGGCTACTTGAAGGCATATTCATGGAGCTGTTTGTCATGCTGAGCTGATTGGGTCCAGGTCCCTGCATTGGCATATGGTTAGGCCCTTCAAAGAGAAATGGTCAGAATGGACAGTCAGAGTTACAGACGTGCATGGGACAAGTCTGTTTTTCATAACTGAACTATCAGCCTAAGCAACAAACTGAATCAACAGAAAACAGGTAAACAGCTTAAATGGTAACTCTGATCAGGTACATATTATTTTCCCAGTTTAGTGATAAGGAAACTGATCTTGGAAAACCAGGATTTGTCTGGAGAGGAACAGGAAGGAATCCTAGCTGGCTAGGACAGTGAGACTCGTGGAGCAGTACTACACAGTAGTAGCAGACACAGCAAACAGATGAACAGGTAGTGAAGTGCCAGAGTGTAAAACTATGCCAAATTCATAAAGTAGTAAGCAGTAAACGATGGTAACATTTCTTCCTACTTTCAGTTGAGTTCATATTTTATATCCATGGGCAACAGACACAGAGCACAACAGGAGGGCGGGGACAACTGGACAGACACCGTGTTTGGAAAAAGTATCCAGTAGGGTCCCTACCTCATTTCTTCCACTACAACTAATTTCATACGTATAAAAATTTAAATTCTCCCTTCCAAGAGAAGAAAAGGAGAGCCAGGGAGACTGGGAGAAGGGGGGGCAGATATTGGGATGCAAAGTGAACAAATTAATTAATTAATTAGTGGGGTCCAGGTTAAGAGGGACCCTTACCTCAAAGCTCTGACCCAGCACATTATGAAGAAACACTTTCATACACTGCTGAAGGTGTGCAAATCTAAGTAAGTACTGTTTTATACACAGCAATTTGCAATGACTATCAAATTTTAAAATGTCCTGGTTTTGGTTTGGTTTGATGACACAAATATTCTGTAGCACAGACTGGCCTCAAATTCACTCTACAGCAAAGGATGAACACGGACTCCTGAGCCTCAGCTCTCCTGTTGAGATTACAGGCATGCACTACTACACCTAGCTTAAAATGTAGTTGGGATCCAATAATTTAACTTCTAGGATTCTATAGGTAGAAAGTTTGGGGGTACACATATGTGTGAATGCAAAAATATATACATGTGCATAGCCATACCAAAACACTGTAAGCTTTGTGTCTGTCATCAGGAAATGGCATACAGATCAGACACATCCATAAAGAAGGATGTGACTGGAGAGATGGCTCTCTTCCAAAGTCCCTGGGTTCTAGTCCCAGAACCCATCACAACTCACAACGCTGGTAACTATAGTCCCAAGGGATCCTACACCCTTTCCTGGCTTCCTCAGGCACCACACATACATACGGTACAGACAGACAACCACAGGGAAAACGTATTTATTTTTAAAAAAGGATACGGCATGGCAACCAAAGAGAATGAGACACCTCTCTGTACACTGAATGAAGAGCTTATGTGCTCTAAAGGTGTTTCCTTTAGAAAGGGAGGGACGAAGAGGGGGAGGGAAGGAAGAAAGGAGGGAGGAAGAGAGGGAGGGGAAGAAGGAAACCAAAAAATTCTGATTCCTTTTTCTTTCTCCCAGACCCAGAACCAAGCATCTGGAGAGGCAGTGGGTGCACGAACTTCTGTGCTTTTGATTTGGTTCCACAGACACGAGGATTCACTTTCTACACTTAACAAAAACAAAAACCAGCAACAACAAATTTCTTTTTGATAAATTTGATTCAAAGAAAAAAAGCTGTGATTGATTTTTTTAGCCAAGATCAAATGATATAAGTGACCCTAAAATTAAGATTATATAAATGAACTATTAAACTATGCTAGGAAATTAAAAACACATGGAAGAAAATATAAGCTATTGACCTTCCAAACTCTCTTATACCAAACAGTAAACTTTACTTTTAAGACAGTAATGGATATTTAGAAATTGCTTTAGAACTCTATAGTAGTCTAGAAAATCTCTTCATTAGGTGATAATCTTTGCTCTTAAAAAGAGTTACTTATAGGTGTGGGAGAGGTGGCTTAGCAGGTAAAAGCATTTCCTACCGTGTAAGCCTACTGATCTAAGCTCAATCCTGGGACTCTACATAAAAAGCCTGACACAGTAGCACACACCTGAAACTCAGCTTTCCCAGGGCGACCTGAGGGGAGACAAAGAGAAGCCCACAGGCCACCCAGCGGAGTACACGGCTACAACAGCACAAACAAGACCCTGCCTCAGCAAGGCGGAGAGGACTCCTCAATCTCCTCTCACTTCCCTACGCATCCACATGCATAACAATAAGCATTTAAAAATGTTTAATAGAAAACATATCTCAATTACATAAGGCTGTAGAGACAAACCGGTACGTCAAGTTGACAATAATCATTTGCTTCTCAGCAGTTTCCTTGGCCTTGGGCCTCACTGTAACCTGGAGAGTTGGCTAAGAATACTAATCCAAGTTTCTACCACACAAACTGACAGAGCTCGAAACTGGCTAACCCGGACTAGCACAGTGTCCCAGTTCTAAAGCTGGTGTCCTAGAGAGCCAGACATGGACTTAGTAGGGAGCTTTCTCTCGACTACAGCCTAACTGGAAACTAAAAAGTAATCTGTCTATGCTCCTCTCTCCACGCTGTGTGGAGGCCATCAATGTGTGAACCTTAGCAGGAAACAGATGAGAAAGACAGAAACACCATTTACCTCCTGCGATATCAGCTGCACACCAATCTTCTAAAGCAGGCTACCTTGTCTCTCGGCTCAGTGCTCTCCCCTGGATTCTTTTTAGTATGTCCGTCCTCCTTGGACACAAATGCAACCAAAGGCACAGCCAGCCAAGTTAAGAGACTATGCTGGACATTTCAATTATCAGGCTAATAATAAAAATGGCTGTATTATGTTAATTTACTCTATTGCTAACTGAACAGTGCTCTTTTCTTTCTGGCTAATGAAAATATTCTTTGTCTCTAGAAAGTAAAAATGTTCTCATATTAAATGGATAGTACACTTTATCAAAACCTATGCTAGACTATTAATTATAAAAACACAATAGTTTTAAAGAAACTTTCTTTAAAAGGTAACCAGGCAAACACCCAAGTGGCCTAAGAAGGTCACTGTTATACTGATGTTAGAGCTAGACAGGTAAAGGAAAGGACTCAGTGTGTAAGAAAGCTTACATTAGTCTTTAGCTTCTAGTACTGCTTCTAAATCAACTTCCATATTAATCATACTCTATAAACATATGTACTAATAAGAATCTAGATTTGGCTTCAGAAATATCTGCAAGGAAATACTAAATACCCTAGGCACTTCAGGGGCAATTCTGTTCCTCTCCCCATGTGGTCTTTGCAGTGTCCCTACTTAGGAGATCAATATATTTTCAGGTAAATAAACATTATGGTACTTTTTCAGGAACAAGTTTTAATTCTTAAGCCATGGCACAATCCCTTTCCCCCCACCCCCAAAAGCTTCTAAAGTCAACTGTATTGCATAGTTTCAAACAGACTAAATTTAGCCAGTTCTGTTCATCAGAGGAATGCTGTGTGTCAGCTCCATCAAAGCCCAAGGGCAGCCCTGATAAACACTGAATACAGGGCACGTAGCTCTACAGCTAACAAACTCGCAGAGAGCTTGGACTCGGGGGCATTCAAAGCAGTTTTGTCATCAACAATCTAGTATCCCCGGAGCCCCCATGTCGTTTCAGTTGCTAAGCAACTCTGGTGTTAATGTCTTAGAGGAGAAAAACTTACCAGGCATCTGGCCGTTCATCTGGTTCTGCATGTGTGGTGCAGGAGGGCCCCCACCCACCATTCCATCTGAAGGCATGCTGTGAGACCGGGGAGGGGGTGGAGGGCCACTCTGACTCATCCCTCCAGGACCCATAGGCATATTCTGTGTGGGTGGCTGAAAGAAGACAGCTTAGTCAAACAAGAGAAGCGGCAGAATAGTGCATGAAAGATTCATGTGGAATTGCTGCTGTCTATATTACTAAGCTGAATATAAACAAAACAATAAATGCATTTCAGTGTCTTCCAATGCATTTTAATGACGCATTTATTAATATCATATTAAATATCCCTCATAACTTCAAGTGTCTTGGAAAGCAGACTATAGTTAAAGTGCATTTTAACTTATAAAATCTCACAGGAAAAGGAATTTTCTAACAGGCTATACAGACTTTCCATTTACTTATTTATGGTCTCTAATGTGTCTATTGTTGTTATTTAAATTACATTTAAAAAACTAAGTGTCCTTCCTTATGAAGATATTCGTATATTTACTAACAGTAGTTTTACCTGCAAAGGAGGAGTAACAGCAGCAAAATAGGTAAAGGGGGCAGGGAGCCTCCGAGAGCACTGTCCTTTATACTTAGAGAGGGAGCAGGTTCGGGAAGAATGCGGCAAAACAGGAGCCAACCGCGCGACTCAACGCTTCTGTGCCAGTCATTACTACAGGTTGGGAATGTTACCATGACAGCCTCCAAGGGTCCACAGACAGGGGCCTCTAAAACACGCCTCTGACAATCCTAATGAAAACCACTCACTAAACCTGAGAGTTCAAGAAGAGTGAAAGGACACAGACACACACACACACACACACACACAGAGACACACACAGAGACACACACACACACACACACACACACTCAATTATAACCCACACATCTGTCCTGCACTTTCCCTCCAGACCTCATCGTAATGTCTGGTTCAACAGCTCCTCACATTTGCCACCTCTAGTTACTACGTAGCTTTCCAGATGTGAGTGAACACAGCAGCACACAGCAGACAGACACACTGTTCTTCAGCCAACACCACTTAGGAAAAAAAAAAATCACAACTTTTAACTTCTTTATTTGTAAATCCAGTAAATCACTAACCTTTAGAATTTTTAAATCTCATTCTCAGATCTTTGTCTAACTTGTATCTTCATACACTTAACAATTTAGTTCTGATTTCTTTCTTTAAAGAAAAAACCACTAAGTCGCACATCTTACTTTTAATTACATACCTCACTCCAAACTTGACCGTAATTCAATCTCTAGTCACCCTGACTCACTGCCATCATTCCAAGGTATAACAAACTAACTCTCCTGCTAACAAGAACTATAAAGTACCGGGAAACCCAAACAAGCAAACAAAACAAGAAACAACCTGAAGGCTCTACAAAGCAACTTCTGGTGGAGAAATTGAAGGCTATCCCTCCAGAAAGGGGTCAAATGCAAGACCACACACTAGACCTTGGCCTTTTCCCTGACGTGTTGTACACAGGGTGAGCCCCAGTAGGAAGCTAGAGTTCTTTGGAATCTTTGACAACCAGAAAAAAAGAAAATTTAAAAAAGAAAAGAGAAAAAAAAGAAAAAGATCAGGAGAAGAACCTTGAGAAGCGGGGACAGCAGCCAGGAGGTGACAGTGAAGCATATGGATGGAAGGTGACTGACTGCTGGTGCAGGCCCACAAGTCAGAGGGGCTCTCAGGAAGAACTCAAGCTCACCGGAGAGGATACAATCTCTTCTTAGACTAATATCAAACTTAATACATCGGCCTTAGCACATCTAACCTGAGCCTCACTAAACTTATGGTAATCTCTGGGTATTTTCACACCAAAGGCAAACGGCTCCCTTTGGAAGAAAACAACACAGATGTGTACTGTTGTTGCTCAGCCACAATGTCTTGCATTCTGTTAAAATCACAGAGCATCATGAAAGCAGGAAGTAAACGTCCAACAACAGCAGGATAACTGTAACAATATCAAAGTGAAAACTAGATGAAACAGCAAATTGTAGAGGGACAGAAACCCACGCATCCTGGTGGGGAGGTAATAAAGGTTTAGGCGCCATTGCAAACGCCTCCACTCAACAAGCTTAACATGGAGGCATCACTGGAACTGGCAATTCCAACTCCTGTCCACATTTTAGATCTGGAAGCACATAGTCTTGCACATCATATCTTATAGATAGAGCACTTACTCAGGGATCCCACAGAACCACCCCCCAAATAAAAAACATGTAACATCTGTAAGCCAGTGACTAGATAAAACATGGATGGTCATACAGTGGAGTACTATTTGGCCACAAAGAAGCACGGTCATAGGGATGCCTGAAGGTCAGCAAAGGAGAAAGGCTGCACAGAAGAGGCCATCACATGACTCGTTTGACAAATGTGCAGGACAGGCAAAAGCAGAGACAGAGAGAATGCTAGTTGCTGCCCAGTGAGGAGAAGGGAGAATCAAGATTCTGTGATATCAAATATGAGGGTTTTTTTTAGTTTATTAATTGCTTTTTAATGTATACGTGTTTTACTTGTATGTATATATGTGTACCACATGCTTGCCTAGTACCCAAGGATGCCAGAATGGAGCACTGGATCCTTTGGGATTGGAGTTACAGATGCTCTAGGCCACCGTTCAGGCTGGGATCTGAACCCAGGACTTCCACAACAGCAGCTCATGCTTTTAGGCACTGAGCCAGCTATCCAGCTGAAGATTCGAGGTTTCATGTTTTTGAAATGACACAGAGGTAAACGGTGTGCAACTGTGAGCATGCTCAAGGGTGCCTTGTGTGCCTTACAGTGGCTAACATAGTGATTGTTATACATATCTTCTTTCAATTCAAAAAGACAGACAAATAAGAGTAACACTAATTTTAAAAGAATTTATTATGCATGTGTTGGGGATGAAGGTCACTGTCAGGAGGCAGTTTGAGGGAGTTGGTTTTCTCTTTTCACCATGTGGGTCCTGGGAATCAAATTCACACTGTCAGCTTGGCAACAAGCCTCTTTATACCTGAACAATCTCCTTGATCCTATAAATAACAAAGACACGGAAAGCACTCAAAAATAACCATGCTTGATACTATCAAGAATGGTTGTGAGTGGAGAGGCACCAGGAAAATAGAAAATGTCTATAAAGTCCTAGGAATCTTTTAAGAGAGTCAGAAAATAAAATCACTGAAATTAAGAGTGCAATGAATAGAAACAACAAACAGGACTGGAGATAATTTATAGAAACGATACAGAGATGAAAGAGAAAACACCAGCAAAGAGACAACATGGCTGGGACACATCAGATGAGAAGCCACTCTAGCCTGCACACAGCCCAAAGTTGGAGGCCCAGCCCTGAAAGAGAAATACAAAGCAAATACAACATCTAACTGAAGTTAGAAAATACACACTAGGGGGCTGGAGAGATGGCTCAGTGGTTAAGAGCACTGACTGCACTTCCAGAGGTCCTGAGTTCAAATCCCAGCAACCACATGGTGGCTCACAACCATCTGTAATGAGATCTGATGCCCTCTTCTGGTGTGTCTGAAGACAGCTACAGTGTATTCATATAAAATAAATAAATAAATCTTTAAAAAAAAAAAAAAAAAAAAAAAGAAAATACACACTAAAATCCAATGATGTAGGTGGACAATACTGGCTGAGAGTTTTCCAAAGCTAATAAACAATTCCTTTAAAGTGGTAAGACAACATACAGAAAGTCAACAAGCTATCCCAGACTCTATACTAAGATAAAATACTCTCTGTCCAACTTGAGGATAAGATAAAAATTCTTTAAGGTAAGCAAAAGATAGAATTTGCTAAAAGAGGTTCACCAAAAAGCTCAGAATCTGGAGACATGGCTGAAGAATCCAGAGCACCAGCTGCTCTTCCAAAGAGTTCAGTCCCCAGCACCTAAAGGGTAGCTAGCTCACAACCTGAAATTCCAGCTCCAGAAGACCAACAACTTCTCACCTCTGCAGGCAACAGGTACACACATGGCGCACAGACAAACTCTAAACAAGCAAAAGAAATTAAACGTAAGGAAATTAAATAAATCTTTTAAAAAGCAAGTAACTATACAAGAACATATATTTGGGCAAATGTGGAAGAAATGAATGAATGAATACATCACTAAAAAAATATTACTACTAGCATTCAAAATAACAATGACATACTACAGCCCAGGAGCAGGTCAGCACCACAGCATTGAAAGCACAGGGCTCTAAGCCCAAGGGAAAGGAGAGCTGCTCTCCAAGAAGAAACATGCACTCAACAGCGAGGGCTGGCAAGCCAAAGTGCATACACACTTCATAACACAACCTCAGACCTGTGAAGCAAAAGCAGAGAGCACGAAGACAAGAAAGGAAGCCAGAGAAAGAAACAGCCAGAGACCATTCAGAACGAGTTTAAACAAGGCTTCTGATAACAGATGAAGTAGGCAGGGCATGTGAAATATTTAGCTTAAGGAAAGTGACAGGAAAACAGAAAGTCTGAAGGGCAGGGTAGGTTCTGAGGGGTGGGGCAATGCAGCTCCTGAGGGGCAGGGTACCTCAGCACTTGGGCAACTAGCATACAGCAAGCCCTGGACTGTCCCAGCACCAAGAAAGGAAGAAAGAATGGAGGCAAATGCAAAAAATTCTCTATTAAAAAAAAACCTGATCCAGGCACAATTAGGAGGCAGATCTCTGAGTTCAGCCAGCCTGGTACACAGAGCTAGTTCTAGCACAGCCAAGGCTACACACAGAAACTATCTTGAAAAATCAAAACCAAACCAAACAAATAAACAAAAACCACCTAATCCATGATTTAAAACCTTTCCTGAAGAAATCATCTCATGAGCTTTTATTGTGGTCTCATGTCCAAATCACTTAGGAATAAAAAGAAAAAAAAATAGAAATTCATATGTAACCTTTCAGAAATCAAAAATAAGGGGAGCAGGTTCCAATTCTTTACGAGCCCATTACTCTCAGACCAAGATATTTCAGGAAGAAAAATTACAGGACATGTTTTCAGACACTAAAAACCACTGAACAAAAACAGGGGCAAATTAAGTCCAGAGCATCATAAGCAATGGACATCCCTCCAGGAATGCAGGTCAGCACAATAACCTGTGGAAATGACACAGTGTGCAGAGTCATCAAAGTG